CCCCCACCCACCTAATTCACGGTTCAGCCGTTTTGACGTTTATTGGATGAAAACAGAAAGACAGACAAGCAAAGTAATTATATAGAAGTTATAATATATATATATAATATTATATATATATATATATATATATATATAAACGAGAACAGACCTCACTGAAGATTGGTCTATGACAAATGATCCATCAAACATTGTGTATGAGGATGTTTATCTGTTTTTTTTTATTGAACAATAAATTGAATATATATACACATATACATAGATAATTTAGGTCACTTAAAAAAACGTTAATCATTTAAGGTTGTGTTTTTCATATCACCCAACCGAAAATATAAATGTGACACTTGAATGATAAATTAGATTAAATGAAACTATTTCAATGTGAATAAACAAAATAAAACAAAATAAAAATATTGTCACATGCAGTATAGTGCACTGCACACATTCGGATTTAAAGGAACTGTTAGACGTAATTGCGGTCCTTTATTTATAGAGATAGCTTGCCCAATTTACAGCGGTACCCTTTAAACATTTTGCTAATAAATTTGTGAATGTGATATTCCTGAAAATTGGTTAATTTCAATTAAAGAATTACGGATTTGTGTATCGAAGACAATAAGAAGGAAATGATCCCCATTTAGACTTGTCAAGATAGAAAAACATGTCACTCAGATCAAGGTTTAAGGGTTTAAAGGTAAACAGGTTTAAAGGTAAAAAGGTTTAAAGGTTTTAAAGGTTTAAAGGGTTAAAGGTTTAAAGGTTTAAAGGTTTAAAGGTTTAAAGGGTTAAAGGGTTAAAGGTTCAAAGGTTTAAAGGTTTAAAGGTTTAAAGGTTTAAAGGTTTAAAGGTTTAAAGGTTTAGAGGGTTAAAGGTTTAAAGGTTTAAAGGGTTAAAGGTTTAAAGGTTTAAAGGTTTAAAGGTTTAAAGGGTACTGTTGTGATTGGACATGTCGCTCCATAAATGAAGGGTCACTTGTAGTTTTCTTTGGTTCATTTTTCCACAATAATTTATTTTTTGTTTTAACTTTTTGGTTTTTAATTCTTTTATTTACAGTGAGAATAAAGTAATACTATAAGTAGTACTTAAGCGTATTTGATGTTTTTACAAAGCAAATAGTTTTACTGCAGTAACCAATTAAATCATATATTCACTTTTTGTATTCATTGGACTATTAAAAGTCATGACTTGAGTTTAAAAGTCGTCTTTCTAATCCAGAGTTTTCTGGTTCTCACAGTACTTTAATTTTAAAGCATTTTTATTTAAGGGGGTCCCGGGTGCATGGTTGATTTCTGTAAATTACCAAATACAATTTGGATTATGTAATATTGCAGGTTCTGGAAAACATTAAATCTCAGATGGCGAGTTTCTTTATACTCAGTTCAAATTAAACTATACTTTTACAAAACAGAACCCTTCAAACCATCTTCTGATCAATATGTGAAAGATATCGTTGCTTGTCTAGCTTTATTAGTCTTCAGTTTTCACAATTTTCTCCAGTGTTAGTGTAGAAAGAAATCTGCAAGTCATTTTTATAGAAAACCCATAATTGAAAATAACACATTTTAAAAGAAAAATGTATAGATACATCATTCATTATTGTTCAGAAAAATCTTATAAGGGTACTTTTTTGAATTAGACATCCCAGTACGTTTAATCAAATCTTTAAAATAGATACAAAATACATTCATATGTATGACTATATTTCATATTTATTCAACATAATAATTTTTTGTTTTTTTTATAGATGTTTTTAGTTTAGATAGAAAACAAAATAAAATATAAAAATGGGAAATGTTTACACAACAGGGCCTAATGAGGCCATGATTATTTCAGGTTAATATTCTTTATTTTATTTTATACATTTATTTTATTTTTGATTTTATGAACTTTGAGTTATTAGTATTTTGTGTTCAAATTGTGTGACGAGAATTCGGATGTTGCGCAAGATTTTTTCTGTGATTAATTGTATAGTATTTTTATATTTTTATCTTACCCAAAAAAACATAAATCATAATTAAAGAATATATTAGTTTCAAACTATGCTTACGATCTATTAAACAAAAATAAAAAATATTACCCCCCCAACCCCCAACCAACTTATTTACCTTTTAAGTAGCCCAAAAACTTAACTGTGTGTTCTAAGGTGCGCATACGAATCAATATTATTCTAAATCAATTATATACTTATCACGTGATAAAAAATCACCAAAATTATAGCAAATAAAATATTTTTCTTTAACTATCTTTACCTTGTTAAATTAGTTAAACTACTACTTGCTGTTAATTAAGCAACCAAATAATTATTTATAACAAAAACATACAAAATTAAGTGTTTCAGGAGAAAATACATAAAAACCTACAAAAATAGAGGTTGTGGGAATATTTCCCCACAATTGTATAAAAGGAAAAGGAAATGAAACTTACATATTTATTGTTTACATGACATTTAATATAAGTGGTGTTGGATTGTTAATATTTTTAGATGATGAACTATCAACTTTAAGAAATAAAAATTATAGATTTAATTTTAATGTTGAAAAAATAAAATAGGTTTTAGGGTTGTGTTAATATATAAGTTTTACACCGGTCTGAGTATTGAACAATAGCCATAGGTTAGTCTCACGCTGATTTAACAGTTCGGTCGTATGATCCCAGCAAGATGTGACTTTAATTCAATCCAAATTTGATCTTAAACATAAATTTTTCGCTTGTTCTCTTAATTTCTTTTTTTCTTTCTATTGCGTTTAGAATAAAAAGTACACTAAGACAACTCCTGAAGTTTAAAGATTGTTAAAGTATATCTCAAAAAAGAGATTTAATTCAAATTGAAGAAACTGAACGCATCTTGCCCTAGTTAGTCCTATCTTTATCTCTGTAAGTAAAGGTAGATACGTACCCACTTCGTAGGCAAGGGCGTATACAATAATATCTTCGAGGGGGGGGGGAGGGGGTAACCTTTGTAAATATTTAAGGGGGGGGCTAGTTTCCACTTTTCGATGCCCCCTCCCACCATCCGTACAATCCTTATTCCTGTTTTAAATCCACCCTGTCCTCCAGATTAAAAGTTAACTCCCGGTGTCGTATTAGAAGTGTTCCACCCTTTTAAACATTTTCAAAATAATGTTAGCTCATGAAAGAATTTTCAACACATGGCAATAATAATGTCTTAATATATAAAAATATAAAAAACAAACCTAATCAAAGTTCATTTCCAATAATTTAAAAGGATCTTTCTTATATAATAAACGAGTTGAAAAAATTAATAATATTTTAAAAACTACCCACTGGAGTTTTTTTTAAAATCTTTACCTTCTTGAGGGAATGGTTAAAATCATGCTCTGGAATAAATGTAACTGCCATCACCACATAAATCCTGAAACATTGCATCAATTTTCAAGACTGGGTTAATTTTGATTTGTTGCAACGCCATAGCCTATGATTTTGTATCTCAGCAACTCACTTCAACATGTTGGTATCCCTAAACATAGATACTACTCATAACTTTATCGCACTTATTTTTTGCTTTAGTTTAAAACGGGAGATTGGAAAAATTCAGATTTTTGCGCGTGAGCTTGCAACCTTTCTATCGCAGAGTCACGTGACACCTGTGGAATAGATATTACTGCCGGATGTTTAATCACAGGACACCGGTGTATTGTATAAGATGTCAGATCAGCTGTAAACAGTGTTTACATATAATTATTATCAGTATAAGAATGGGTACCATATATAGTTGTGGTCCAAACACTGCTCTTGTGATTTCAGGTCTCGTATAATAATAATAATTAAAACAATTAATTCTTTAAAAATTATAAAATGTATATGTCCACTTAAAACTCATATATATCTCCCATATATCCTTCCTTTAGTTTCAAATATAAATATTCAGGATTATATATACTAGTGTTATAGGGCGCTTCGCGCCATCTTCTAATTAAATTGTGAACATGTTCTTTTTGTTTACATTTAAAAACAAAGGAGAAACAAATTTTGCGGATTTTAAAAAAAATTTGCAGATTTTCAAGAATTAAAATTTTTTTTACAAAATTAAAAACCTTTACTCATTTTTTAAAATTTTTATCATTCATAAACCTTCCCTGGGATAACGCGAGGGGCCACAAAAAATATGGGCCCGATCGGTTCAGCCGTTTTGACGTTTATTGGATACAAACAGACAAACAGACAAGCCAAATTTATATATAGATTGTTTATGCTATCCTTTGATATTAATCCTTTGATGTTTATTCTTTAATACTATCCTTTAATATTATTCTTTGATATTATCCTTTGATATTATCTTTTGATATTATCCTTTGATATTATCCTTTAATATTATCCTTTGATATTATCCTTTAATATTATTCTTTAATATTATCCTTTGATATTATCCTTTAATATTATCCTTGTAATATTATCCTTTAATATTATCCTTTAATATTATCCTTTAATATTATCCTTTAATATTATCCTTGTCTTTATCCTTTGATTTTATTCTTTCATTTAATCCTTTAATATTATCCTTTGATTTTATTCTTCCATTTTATCCTTTGATATTCTTAGATTTCTTCCCTTGATTTTGTCCCTTGATTTTATCCTTTGATTTTGTCCCTTGATTTTATCCTTTGATTATATCTCTTGATTTTATCCCTTGATTATATCTTTTTATCTTTTCCTTTTATTTTATTCTAACTTATTATCCTCTTATTTTATCTTTTCTCCTTCCTTTCTTGTTGTTCTTTGATTTCACTTTTAAATTTCTCAACATATACTTTACATAACATAATCATTTGCCCTATATTGTAGATTTTCCTTAGATTTTCCGCAAACTGTCTTATCGTGCAAATTTCTGCAAAACTTCCGTCTAAGAGCTGCAAATAGTCTTGTCTTTGTTTGCAATACAGAAAAAATATTTTTTTTTCATATAGTACTTTTGCAAAATAATACAACGTGAATGTAGATATTTTTATTACTATATAAAACGTATATATATATATTTGTGTCCCTTTTTAAATACAATTAATATTAAAAAAAGTTGTGTTTTACTTCTAAGAGTAGTATTTTTCTGTGTTTTTATTCAGGCATGAATACACATTTTCCCACTTTTTGCATGTTTTGTGGGACTCACTGTATGTATGTATGCATATACGTACACCTCTCTCAGCCTAATTGTATCTTGCGAGGAAAGCTGCCTATGCCAGCTGTAGTGACCAAACCTTACTCCTGTCTGTTTACATTCCTATTTTTTTAATCTCTAGTTCTCTAGTTCTCAAATTCTCTAGTTCTCTAAATTAGTTTTCTAGTTCATAAGTTTTATTGTTCTTTAGTTTTCTAGTTCTCTAATTCTCTAGTTCTCTAGTTCTCTAGTTCTCTAGTTCTCTAGTTCTTTAGATCTCTAGTTCTTTAGTTCTCTAGTTCTCTAGTTCTCAAATTCTCTAGTTCTCTGTTCTCTAGTTCTCTAGTTCTCTAGTTTTCTGGTTATCTAGTTTTCTTGTTCTCTAATTCTCTAGTTCTCTAGTTCTCTAGTTCTCTAGTTCTCTAGTTCTCTAGTTCTCTAGTTCTCAAATTCTCTTGGTCTCTGTTCTCTAGTTCTCTAGTTCTCTAGTTTTCTGTTTATCTAGTTTTCTTGTTCTCTAATTCTCTAGTTCTTTAGTTTTTTAGTTCTCTAGTTCTCTTGTTCTCTTGTTCTCTAGTTCTCTAGTTCAATAGTTCTCTAGTTTTCTTGTTCTCTAGTTCTCTAGTTCTCAGAAATTGATTTGATTCGTCATGAGTTCTGCTTATCTCTGCCTGACAAATACTAACCTTAAATTCAGTCTTCAGTGTAAAAGATAAAAGTCAACAAGCATTAAAAAATAATTTACGATTAAATAGTTTAAAATGGGGAACATACATACAGTGGGGGCTAATGAGGCATTGTTTGTAAACGGTAGCATAATTCTAGACAAATATTGATAGTTTGAAAATATTATGATTTCATCTGAATTAGATAAATTTTAAATGGCAATTAATTGAAAGTAATACTTTTTGATTTTGATTTATCATAAAATAATTGATATGAGAATTGATTGATTCATAAAAACATCTTAATTTTGAATTTTTTAAATATTTTGATTTAACAATAGATTGATTGATTGATGAATTGATTTAACCAATTGATTAATATGGAAGTTAATTGATGGATTCATTATCTTAACGACTATTTCGCGGATTAATTGATTATTTGATCGACTTTTTAAATAATTAATCTAGCTCTTTTTTTATTGATTAATCGACTATTTGATTGTTTGATTGATATATTGTTTCATTAATTGATCGATTGGTTAATTAATATAATTAATTGATTATGTAGGAGGATGTTGTGGGTCTACGTCTAAGAATACTGTGGTGGGAGGATGGGCCTGGGCCTGGTGGCTGGTGACAGACGTCCAGAGGTAAATAAAAAATACCCAAGAGCAAACCGCAAATACATATATTCCTGACCCCCCCCCCCTTGAAAATAAGCCCTCCGGCATAGGGATATAGGGATATATTCACCCCATATATATTAAAAACAAGGCGTAGGGGATATTAAAAATGAGGTTTTTCTTAAAGTGATAAAGGAGCTAATTACCCACCTCTCAAACTCATATTTTCTGATCCCTATATTTACTATTTGATCTAACCAAAGAGAATAGAATATATATTAGAGGGGAATTTAAAGAATCTCTGTGTGTGAATTTTTTCAGTCCCTTTCAGCCTGAAAGGGAGTTCAAAGTGTACAAATCATGTAAATGTTTACAAATTATATGCAGTAGAGTACATTAATACATTATGTTCCCTAGACTATTCATTTCAATTTTGAATTTGTTAAAGATGTTAAATAAACTTTATAATGAATTAGGTGAATAAAAAACATCATTTGATTTATAGTTATAACGGAAAATCATCGTTTGTAAAGTGAAAGGCATAGAGTCTATGTGAAATGATAATTGGTCAATTATGAAACCAGCCTATTTCATAATTTGGTTTTCTTTTAATATTAATTTTAGATTTTTTATAAAATGATGTTCCAGGGCCCAAAAGGTTAAATAGCTTAAATATGTGAAGTATACCTGCATTATGGAAACATTACAACAAAATGGCCGTTTTACACATAATTGTCAAGAATGAGAATATTTAAGATGATAATACTATTTATTTAATAATATAATGTTTACATAATGATATTATTACTATATTCAATTAACATACAGCGCTATACATATTTTTCCGTCTAAATTGTCAAAATAGAAATATTACAAAAAACATTTCAGCTTTAGGAAATTGAATGAGATTTGAAGTGATCTGTTTAGAAATGCATTTAAGAGATTTTTTTGAGATGTTTTTTTCTAAAGCAGAAGATGGATTATTTTCAATTGGTGGATTCTCTGCACAATTTACTTGCTGATTTTTGCTGTAGAAACAATAATGGAAGTAGTCAGGAGTTAATAATCACTTTTCAAACTAAAAAAAAACAATATATGCGATGGTTGACCGATTTTTTTATCAAATTTTTTGTCTAGATTGTCCCTGGAAGTTATGACCTTGAACCCTGTGTGTGAGAATGTAGAAACTGCCCAGGGTGTTCCCCTCACAGTTACAGGGGTAGCACAGGTATATGCTAGTGTAGTGTAGTGTAGTGTACTGTACTGTACTGTACTGTTCTGTACTTTGCTGTACTGTACTATACTGTATTGTACTGAACTTTACTGTACTGTAATGTACTGTACTTTACTGTATTGTAATGTACTGTACTGTACTGTACTGTATCTGTACTTTGCTGTACTGTACTATACTGTATTGTACTGAACTTTACTGTACTGTAGTACTGTAATGTACTGTACTGTACTGTACTGTACTGTACTGTAATGTACTGTACTGTACTGTACTGTACTGTACAGTACTGTACTGTACTGTACTGTAATGTAATGTACTGCCTAACAATTAACCAAACAACATGCAACGTTATGTTGCAACGTTGACATATTAAAGTCGACAGAAAAGTCACTTATGTCGATAATTTTCAGTTTGATGAATATTTGGGTCACATTAAAGAACTGCTTAAGTTTACACTGTATAGAGTGTCTACAAAAAAAGCTTATTAGGGGTTTTTAGCCTTCTTAAGCATTGGTAAGTCTCAAATTTGGGCCTTGAAAAATAACTTTCAACTTATGAGGGGGTCTTCATTTTGAACAGTCTTGAATCTAGATACATTGTTAAGAGATTTTGTAAAATTTAAATATAAATTTTGTGTTTAGGTGAAGATCATGAAGAACCCCGACCTGCTCCACACTGCCTCCGAGCAGTTCCTTGGGAAGAAGGAGCACGAAATCAAATCTACTGTTCTTCAGACACTAGAGGGTCATCTTAGAGCCATCCTAGGTCAGTTTTTTTCGCAGTTTATTTAACCCCCTGTTAGGAAATTGATTTGATTCGTCATGAGTTCTGCTTATCTCNCATCTTTTTTAATTTAAGAACGTGATTGCTCATTAACTATCACATATTGAAAAGAACTAACGTGGAAAGAACTAATGGTAAGAACCGTAGAAAGAACGGTTTCAAAAATCATGAACAGGTCCAGCCATAGTTGCTGGAAATTAAATCTAAAGAATAATTATTAATCTTCCCTTTCCTTTAGAACTTCAATACCATCATCTTTCAGAAGAAAAGTGTTAACAGTACGTTTGAATGATATTTTGGTAATTTTTCTTTTACTTTTAGAGATTTGAAATTGCATTTTTTTTTGTATTTTAGGAACATTGACAGTAGAAGAAGTTTACAAAGACAGAGACCAATTCGCATCCTTAGTTAGAGAGGTACTTCATTCATCTATTCATTTATTCATTCAGCTATTTATTCATTAATAATTTATTCATTTATTCATTTCTTCATTTATTCATTCATCTATTTATTCATTTATTCATTTTTTTCAATTATTCATTTATTCATTTATTCATTCATTCGTTTATTCATTTAATAATTTTATTTATTCATTTATTTTTTCTTTTATTCATCAATTATACTTTGATTTTTTCATTTAAATTTTTATTCATTTATTAAATTTCTTTTCTTAGTTTATTTATTCATTTATTCATTCTTTCAGTCATTTATTTATTCATCCTTTTAATAATTTTTTATCCAATTTTAATATCTTCATTTGTTCATTCATATATTTATTTATTTAACCATTTATTCAGATATTCATTTATTTGTAAAAAAAACTTTTCATTTATAAATTTAAAAACATTTTTAACTCCTATTTTGCCAGGTTCATTCTCATAAATATCTTTAGATAATTTTTAAAACCTTTAATGCAAATCAGGCCATAGTCGGTTCAGCCGTTTTTACGTTTATTAGATCCAAATAAACAGATATCATACGTTTCTACTTTAGGTTGCTGCCCCTGATGTTGGTAGAATGGGAATAGAAATCCTTTCATTCACGATTAAAGTAAGTTTAGAACTATTAAACAATAGAAGTAATTTTGATGTTTTATGTTTTGATAAAAAAAGAGATTGTTAGATAATTTTCATATTGTTTGCGGGATTCTAGCTTTATTAGATGAAGAAAAAAAATTATTTTAACAACACTTTTTCATGAAAGCTAGGGGGAAATAAAGAAACTTAAAGAAAAAATGAAAATTTGTTTAAGTTGTTAAATTGAGAGGAAAATTTTATTAGCCAGTAAATCTTTCTAAAAAATTAAATGTTCTTGAATCAGTTAAACATGTTTGACCAGGAGAGATTTAGAATTCACATCACCTACCTCATTTTTGGCTACGGCTAGAGAGTGCAGAGAGAGTGGTGGTTTAAAAATAGAGATGGAATGCACTCTCTCCCTCGCTATTCCTTAAACGCTCGCCTGATAAATGGTTCCCAGTTCTATTTATTTATTTATTATATTATTCTAGGATGTTTATGACAACGTGACCTACTTGGCCTCCCTGGGTAAAGCGCAGACTGCCGCGGTCAAGAGAGATGCTGAGATTGGTGTAGCACAGGTTAGCTTCAATCAATCAATCCTCTAATTGATTAATCAATTTATAAATTAATAAATTATCTAATTATTCAATCAGTCAATCACTCAATTAACTAATTGGTTAATTGATTAATTAGTTTATCAATTAATCAATCATTCAACTAACAAATAAATCAGTAAATCAACAATTTAATTAATCAAACAATCAATCAATCAATTATTCAATAACTCGATTAATCACTTGATTAATCAAACACAAATCAATCAATCAATCATTCTAACAATTATCGTGTATGCTAGAACAAGCAAGATACACCAGGAACTTTCAAGACTTGGTTTACGAAACACATATGTGTTGTACTTTCTGAAGAAATATATGTATATATGTATATATTCTGTAAGAAATGTAAACAAACCTCATTGGAAAACAAGAACTGTGACAGGTTGTGTGCACTGTGCAGACGTGTGAGCACCCTGTTTGAAAACTAAAATTTAAAGAAAAATTTCTTAAAAACTAAACAAAGCTCTGATCAATAGCGATTGAGATTGGTTACATTTCTCCCGCAAACTGCTGCATATCTTTTCATGCAAACAAAAATGTTATACAAACATTAATTATTTTCGATATTTAAAAAATTGCTTAACTTTATGCCCATAAACGGCTTAAAAACATATGCAAGTCCTCCCATAGTAAAATTGTTATACAATTATACATTTGAACTTATGTATTAACTGAAAATTTACTCTGAAAGTGATGTTTATCACCAAAAATGTGGTTAAAGATTTTTTCGGTACGTTCATAGTTCTCATTAGCATATAAGATTTGCAAAGCCAATGATGTTTCTTAAATTAATATTATTTTATTTAAGATTTTTTTTTGCCATACAAATAGACACACAGAAATTACTACATTTTTTATAGTAGACATATGATTTCTATTAGGGGAAAAGTGGATTTGTAAACCTTTAGTGAAAATTAAGTCTTTAAATTTCTTTTTAGTTGTTTGTGGTCACGTGGTGACACAAGAAAGTATTGTTCACTTAAATTCAGAATTTTTGTTACTGAAAAATACAAAAATAATACAGTGAGAAACAGAAAGACGACTTTTAGATACAAGTTATGACTTTAAATAGTCTAATGAGCATGATACACAGCAACAGTGAAGTCTAATGCATTTCACTGAATATGTGATTAAATAACTTAATAGTAAAACTGTTAGCTTTGTAACAGCATTAAATACACTAATAATTGTTTTAACTTCGTCCACCTATTCCACAGATTATTATTTATTAGTATTTGTTTAGGCGAATAGAGACGCAGGAATTAGAGAGGCTGAATGTGAGAAGGCAGCCATGGACATTAAATATAGTACAGGTTGGTTATTTAACCCCCCCCCCCTTTTCCACATCATTCTTCAAAAGTTTTTAACACCATTCTCAAAGTTGCCCCCTCCATTCTCCAAAAGTTTCCCCTCCATTCTCCAAAAGTTTTCCCCTCTATTCTCCAAAAGTTTTCCCCTCTATTCTCCAAAAGTTTTCCCCTCCATTCTCCAAAAGTTTTCCCCTCCATTCTCCAAAAGTTTTCCCCACTATTCTTCAAAAGTTGTCCCCTCTATTCTCCAAAAGTTTTCCCCTCCATTCTCCAAAAGTTTTCCCCTCTATTCTTCAAAAGTTCTCCCCTCTGATCTCTGCTTAAAAACGAAAGGTATTCACCATGGCAGTGGCAAAATTTCAAAATAAATTAATGAATTGATATTATAAAATCAATCAAAAAATAGATAATTGAGTAAATAATTAAATTAGCTTGCTTAACAACAAATTAACTAATTTCTGAATTTATCAATGAAGAAATGAATCTGCGATAAAATGATGAATTAAATAAATGTATTAATGAATATATTTACAAATAAATGAATGAGTGATTGAATTTAGACACCAAGATCGAGGACAACAGTAGAGCGTTCAAACTTCAGAAAGCAAATTTTGACAGCGAGGTTAACACTGCGGTAATGATTTTTTTGAAAAAGAAAAATCACAAAATTTTCTTTAAAATAAGATACTTTGTTACTTAATTTGTACCTTGTAATTCAAGTAAAAGAAAGAAAGAAGACGACAAACATGAAAATTATAAAGGTTTAAAAGGAACAAATTTCGCTTTAAAAAGAAGAAAAATTTTTTTTCTTTATTGTAGAAAGCAGAAGCTCAGTTGGCATATGAGTTACAAGCTGCCAAGATTCAACAAAGGATCAGACAAGAAGAAATCCAGATTCAGGTAAAATTAGTCTGAAAGGAACTGTAGACGTAACTTCAACATAGAGTAGTATGTCCGATTCACAATAGTACTTTCTACATTTTTTATGATCAAGGATGAATAAGATATCCGTCTTATTCTCTCAGAAGATTGATTACTTTTAATTTGGGTTTTTTATGACTTTCGGATTTTCCTCTAGAGATACTATAGGATATTGTTAGAATTCAAAAGTATTAAGTTAGAAAAATTATGATATTTTTTTTGTTACTTAGAAGAAGGGTTGAAGGGTACTATTGTGAATTATTATCAAAGTGACAGTTCAACGTTAAACCAAAACATTATTCTTTTAATAGTTCATTGCTAAACTTAAACATTATTCTTTTAAGAGTTTATTGCTAAACCAAAACATTGTTAAACTTAAACCTAATTCTTTAAAGTGACAATTAAACGTTATTTAAATTTTTTACTAATTTAAAGGAAATGTTCTCTTTTAACTTCACTGTATTCCTCCAGGTTGTTGAGAGAAGAAAACAGATTGAGATCGAAGATCAGGAGATCAAGAGAAAGGAGAAGGAACTGATCGCTACGATCAAGCTTCCAGCTGAAGCTGAGGGTTATAAAGTCCAAACTATTGCTGAAGGAAACAGGTTTGGATTAAATTCACAAAATAGTTTCAAAGAACATTCCAGAAAGAATCATGCAAATACTTTATTTTCACTTTTTAAAGGGATTACACATAATACTGAATTCAAGATCACAAGTTAGTCTATTTTACGTTAAAAATGTTCATAAGATTCAAAATGTTTAGTGCACTCAGAATTTCTGCAGTTTCTAGATTTTCTTAATTTAATTGTGAATGTGATCCTAAGTTCAAAAGTAAGGGTCGGGATTATATGTGTATTTTGATATACAGGGCTGTGCACTTTTCAGTTTTTAGCGTCTTCTCAATTTAATTTTCAGCGTCGGAACAATAGAAGTACATAACTATTTTTAACCAATGCTTAAATTATACGCCTCCCTATACACAGAAATCAAGTCTTCAGTTTTAGAGTTTATTTCTTGATCATCTAGCTGTGAAGCTGAAAATATAAACATAATATTTATAAAATGTATGGTAAAATGTTATGACCAGATAAAGTTATTTAACAGAATACATTAAAATCCAATATTTCAAACTGTGATCTCTGGTGAAATGTTACGACCAGATAAAAGGATTTGAAGAGTTATATGAAAACTTTATAAAAGCCTAAAACATCTGTTCCAAAAGGCACATTAGAATATTTTACGAAATATTACTATGGTATCTCAATATAAATATAATATAAATCTTACATTTGATAGGGGTTTTGGGTTTCTCGCACGCTGATCCAAATATCTTCTGTTTGGGTTTCAAGTTCTCCGTGTGTCAGTATAATTTCTATTGCGAATGGAAAGAACTATAAGCAACAAGCTTTCATTGTGGATAGTACAGAGTAGATGTAGATTAAGTTTATTAGATAATAACATTTTAAGTGTGTCCTGTGAATACTGCGGACTGCAATTCTTCCTTGATTTCGTAGAAATAATGCATATAGATCAGGATATTCCTAAATAAGTTTAATGTCAGGTCAGGAATCTTATTCGTTTGAAGAATAATTATTGAAATTTCAGAAGTATTCACTTTCTGGATTTGATCTAGATACAGTCCCTCAAGAGCAACAGTAATAAGTAGTAATGAAACGATACGTACAGTCGTACAGTCCCTCAAGAGCAACAGTAATAAGTAGTAATGAAACGATACGTACAGTCGTACTCAGATTCTTTCTGCCTGCATAGGAATTATTGTTAATCTAACGTTTAACACAAGTTAGATTTAAATAATACCTGGGGGGTTTTCCAGACTAGCTGTGTGCTGTAGATCACCGTGATAATGTTTTGTGAGACAACCCTAGCCTCTTTTGGAAATTGGAGCCTCATGAACTCCGGGTTATGCTGATCACTCTTGATGATCAACTGGATCAAACCACTGCAATATATTTAATGAATCTAATTATCTCAGAACAAAGTTTTGATAATTATTTTGTACCTTGAATGTTATTTGAATAACGGATAACTTCTTGAGATAGGATAAGGTAATTTTAATGATCTTGATCTCCCATGATCATCTGCAACACGACGATCGTTATATTTTGAGTGAAAGCTTGGGATTAAATACCTATAGAGTTAACATTTAAAACGTGTCACTATTTAATTCCTTTTGAAGCTTGATAAAATCTGCTTAATATGACTTCTCAGTTTTAAATTACAGATTTAAAATTACATTTTTTTATTATTTTAACTTGTACATTTAACAGGATAAACGTAATATTCTCGGTTATTTCCTGCATATATATAGTTTTTGGTTGGATCACACTGGTCTAGCCTTCTTCTTTCAGACTGTAGTTTGTCCTAAAATAATAGTTCAGATTTTACAAGGGTGTCCCACGAAACATGACAGTAGCAAGACGACTTAAAAGTCGTCTTTGACATTGAATTTATTTGTGACATTTAGATGTGGACCTGCGTTAACATGTATGATTCTTTAAGCAATCCACAAAATTCTCCAAGTCCTGGCATTTCAAAAATGTGTTCTGCCTTTTTTGTGCTTTCAAAAATTATCCGAGATATTGAGAATTTCGTTCAGATTTCAATTTTATTAAATAAAACGGAAATAGTCAAAATCTGAACGAAATTCTTCAGATCTCCAGTAATATTAAAAGCACAAAAAATGCAGACCACATTTAGGAAATGCCAAGATATGGCTATTTTGTGATTATTAACTCTAGAATTTTACTCTAAAATTAGTCTAAGAGTTAAAGATCAAAGACGACCTTCAAATCGTCTTATCATGTTTCGACGGACACTCTGTAGGTGAACACAATAACTTTTTTTATCAATATTTTTTTAGGACTAAAATGGTTGAGGCTGCAAGAGCAGATGGAGAGAAAATCCGTCTGATTGGAGCAGCTGAAGCTCGTGCTGTGGAAGCTGTCGGTCGGGCCGAGGCAGAGCGCATGCGCATGAAAGCATCCGCGTACAAGCAGTACGGAGATGCCGCAATCCTTGCGCTGGTCCTGGAGGCTCTCCCACAAATTGCAGCGGAGGTAACAACAGGGTGTCCAAATCATCAAGGAAATTTAATTTCCACGTACTTTTTAAATTTTGATACACCCTGCACCATAGAATATTTAAAACATTTTCAAATAAAACCACAAAACCAATTTTGTATTAGGTTTTTAAAAAATAAAGTTTATAACTTGTTTTTTAATAGGTTTCTGCTCCTTTGGCCAAGACGGACGAAATTGTGTTAATAGGTTGGTTCCATTTTAAATGCGTCTTAACATTATTATTAGAAAAAATCTTTGATTTCCTATTAATTAATCTTTTTTAAGGAGTTGAAATATGGATTTCATATTTCATGTTTTGAACAAGTTAAATGATATTTATTAGAAAGAAATGGTCACATTAGTTGATTGACTGTTTAATTGATTGTTTGTTTGATTGATCAATTGATTGATTGATTGATTGTTTGATTAGGAGGAGCTGATCGTACAACAAATGAGATTAATAAATTGCTGGGAACCCTGCCTCCAGCAGTTCAAGCTCTTACAGGAGTTGATCTTACCGGGGTAATAATATATTAATTTTACATGAGTAATAATATATTAATCTTACATGGGTAATAATATATTAATCTTACATGGGTAATATGATAATCTTACTAGGGTAATAATTTGATAATCTTACCTGGGAAATAATATAATAATCTTATTGTGGTAATAATAAAATAATCTTACCAGGGTAATAATATAATGAATGGGTTTTGGCCCGGGGCCCTAAACATGCGATGGCGGTCCATGGGGGTCTCCCACAATCTTATCTTAAATTAAATAATAATATAATAATCTTAAAGAAATTATAATATATTGAATTTATTGCGGAAATAATATAATAATATTACTATGTCCACTGTCCAGGGTAAAAATGTAAAAATCTTACCGGGGTAATAATATTATAAACTCACCGGGTAATAATATAATAATCTTATAGTGGAAATAATATAATAATCTTATAGTGGAAATAATTTAATAATCTTACAGAGCCCGAGATTTAAAAAAACATTTGGGAAAATACGGCTCAAGTCTAAGCTGGCGTTGGACCTTATTTAAGGCTTGAGCTTTCGGATTCAAGCTGCATCTTATTTTCCACAGAGTTGAGTTCAAAAAACCGGTTTAATATTCTTTCGGCGGATTTTCATGGTAGAAATTGGCACATTTCGGGTTTTTATGAAAACCAGACTCAACATTGGGCCTTTCTCCACTAAAACCAACCAAGGTCGGTTTTATTTTCATTCGGCCTAACGATCCTTAAGTCGAGCCGAAGATCTTGCAGCTGTCAATCATGTGACACAAGCTGTTATCAGAGTTGGGTCGAAGATTGAGTCTCAAAGTCGGGTTTAAGGAATTACTGCTCTAGCCGAAGTTTCAAATCGCGGGCTCTGAGGTACAAATATAATAATTTTACCGTGGAAATAATATTATAATCTTACTGGTTATGCGGGCCATGTTGGGCCAGACGCCAATGAGTCAATCCAAATAGAATGAGAAAAGAAGACTGACTGAATGTATATTGAACATAACAGGTTTATATACAGGGCATAATGTAAACAATAACAAGTGTGCTGGAATAACCATTTTCGGCATAACTGTTACAACTCATTCAATTTTTACTTTTAATTTTCTTAAAAGAATGTATCGAACATCAGAGAATATGTCAGATCATAACTCAAGAACCTCTTGACCAATTTGCCTCATATTTTGATTGGGGAACTTGGGGTTGGGAGAACCACGGAAAAGTGGTCTTAAAACTTTTAGCTGAGAAGGTTGATATTTATTTGGAAAAACCCAGGCAAAGCTGGGTTCCCATGCTAGTTAAAAATGTAATTGGGGTTTTGGGGGTGGAAGGGAATTCTTATATTGGAAAGCAGATNGGGGAGAACACAACTTTTACAGGACTTAGTCAATCATGAAGTATTAAATTATAATATTTGAAAAATTAGTATGGTAAAATTTACAAATCTGTAGATATACGTTAAATAATATTGTTAAAGAAACACGAAATCATGCGATTTAGAAACACATTAAACACATTAAAAATTGTTCAACATTTTTAGTTTCCTATTAAAAACAGATTTTCACAATAAAATTGTTAAGAATTTAATTTATATATTTATTTATTATTATAAAACTAAAATTAACTGTTTTTAGGCTCTCGGCAAGATTCCCGGCGCTACAATGGTTAGAAACTAAAACAAACATTTGAAAAACCCTGAACACTCCCTTGAAACACTAAACTACTTGTGTTCAAAGGCTAAGTAGTCTGTGTGTTCAAGATCCTGTGTTCAACTAAATTTGTGTTCTAATTGGTGAATGAATGTGTACATACTCAAGTTTGGTGAATGAATGATACATTTTGTTGAAGTCATGTACAATGTACAGAAGTGATGGGCTCCTAACAAGTACATATTGTACATAGCCCGCACCATGTCCAACTATCAACGTGTTCTGCAAAAAATGTTGTTCAACCCTTTCTTTTCTAACGAAAATCCGGGAATCCATATTTTTGGAAAACCAATACAGGTAGAAATATTTTATTTACAGTAAGACCATTATAACCATAGATTAATAACAATCACTAGATGTCGTCTTTTCATAATTTAGAGGATTTCGTTCACAATAGCCCTGGGGCAGAAGCCTAAAGGAGTTACGCGCATGCCGCGTTGAATTAGAAGACCGAGAGAGAGCCTGCTCGTATTCCTTATGGTTTCTGCCTCAGGGTTATTGTGAACGAAAAAACCTTAGATCTTAAAACGACATCTAGTGTTCTATCTGTATTGTGATAAAACTGTGGAATAGCTTTTTTAGATTTTTAATGGGCCAATGAACATGAAAGCAGCAATTTTGCAATGAATACACAGTCCCATAACAATAACAAGGTTGCTTTTCAACATATGGTTTTTTTTTGCTTTATAACAAATATCAAAATGCCCAAATATCGTCTTCCTCTTCCACAGTTTTGTGTCGTATTGTAAGTTTAGAGATACTAGAGTCAATGTATTTTTATCATGGGTGTCCCACGAAACATGACAGTAGCAAGACGATTTTGAAAGTAGTCTTAGCCTTAAAAACAATTTGCGGTTTTTTTCCGTATACTTTTTTTAGAATTAAAATTTTGGTTTTAATTCACAAATACCCTGTCTTGGAATTTCCAAAATGTTGTCTGCCTTTTTCATGCTTTCATTATTACCGGAGATAAATAAATTTCCTTCAGATTTCGACAACTTTGGTTTAATATAAAAGTGGAATCTGAACGAAATTATTAATGTCTACGGTAATATTGAAAGCACAAAAAAGACAGACCACATTTTGGAAACGGCAAGACTGAGGCAAATTTCTGGACACCCTGTACCTTCGTGTTACCTCAATAAAGAACTGTGTAATGGAAAAGTACAGCCATACCCTATAGCAGGGAATTCCTGTTATCCATAAATCGACAATCATTATCTTGAAAATGCAACAATTAAGAAAGACAAATCCGAAAAAATTAAGATCGATTATGAATGATCATCAATCAAGATAAAATTGTTAGCCTTAAAAAATTATATTGATTCTCTGTTTCAGATTCAAGACTACTCATTTCCGGAAGCTTAAATCGCCATTAGAGAACTTGTGTCTTATCACACTAGTTTAAGCTCTGATCTCAACTGAAAGTCAAGATCAAAAGTAAGCTTTGATCTCAATCTGAAGTCGGGCTAAAAAATAGGCTTTGATCTCACTCTAAAGTCAAGATCAAAATAAGCTTTGATCTCACTCTGAAGTTAAGATCAAAAATAAGCTCTGATCTCAGTCTTAAGTTAAGATCAATAATAAGCTTTGATCTCACTCTGAAGTCAAGATCAAAAAAAAAACCTCTGATCTCACTCAGAAGTCAAGATCGGAAGTAAGTTTAGATCTCACTTTAAAGTCAGGATCAAAAATAAGCTCTGATCTCAGTCTGAAGTCAAGATCAAAAATAATCGTGGAAATCCGCTTTTTGAACTCCTGTGGTTATTCTAATAAACAAAATATAACTTTAATGTCACTCAAACTAATTCTGTTAAATTTAATATCTTGAAAATAAACAGCTTTCTCATCGATGCATGTGTTTCTTTGAATTTATTTAACTCGTTTGTAATTTAATTTTTATCAGTATCCATGTTATATTAATGTATAAAAACCGCCTCACAAATATTTCTTCAAAGGCTAAACTAACAACATTTCTAGATTCTAGATAGCCTTAATTTCCAGACTGTCCGATTCACACCAATATCTTTTGAACCTGTATTTAAACTATAAAAAATGTCGTCGTTATCCTACCTGGAACACTATTACTGAACATAATAAACATTCGGCAAAATAATATACATTTCTTACAGTTATCATCAAAACAATTATAACAAGTCTACAGTTCCATTTCAGTTACTGTAAGAGCGCGGACATTTTTTTTGCGAGAACCAGACAAGCTGTTCTTCTATTTTCAGTAAGTTTAATGTAGTTTCAAAATTTTGTCTTAAGCAATCGTAAAATATGTTTTTCTTCAATAGTACTTCATAATTTGGTTTAAACAATAAGAACCTAATAGATTTTAACAAGATTTTATGCTTTCTATTAACGGAATTAAATTAAAATATTGGCAATTGTTTTGGCGTTATCAAATGAACTCGAGTGTAGAGAGGGAGGGAACCCCCGGACGCCACGAGCCTCCCATATTATCTAGGCAGACCGAGCCTCAGTCGTGCAGTAATGAGCATGCACAATACATCAAAATGTGTCTGTGTAATATAGGAGGTTTTTAAAAACTTGTTTTAAATTTAAATAAAAGTTTATTTTACAAATGTGGCATATGAGGTTTCTCAAATATGAGAAGTATTTATCAATAATCCTAAATCGCGCCTAATTATGACTAATTAAGTATTATATGAAATTCTTAATATTTTTTACACAAAAAATTTTACTTTCATTTCCATTGAATTTCTTCTTTATAATCATTGATTTAAGCGATACCTTTTTTGTAGATCTAGAAAATTTGTATCATTTATTTGAATCTTAACATTTTTCAAAAAGAGGTATTGTTTAAATCAAAGATTACAACAAAACAAACTAAGTTTACTCTAGAAATATTTCTCCAAATATCTTCCTTTCTGCGTAAGAAATGTTTCGAGCTTTAGTAAAAATCTTATAAACCACTTTATGAGTCCACATAACAAATAACTCTAACCTTTAGTAAACTTCTTATGCCACTACGTCAAAAAAAATTGTTCAAATTTTTTATACACATGAAAACTGCAAGATTTAAAAAAGCTGTGCTGTATGGTGGAGGCTCCTAATGTAAGCTTGGTCTGCCTAGCAAATTTGGGAGGCTCGTGTTTGCATAGCGGAGGCTCATGGCGTCCGGGGATTCCCTCCCTCCTGTAGATGAAAATTTTGATTGGCCAGACATTTCGGGGGGAGTGGCCGTTTTACAATTTCAAGGATACCCTTTAAGCCTTTATCTGATGAAAAATGTATAAGATATTGTAGATTAATTCTATCTTAAAATGTCTTGAAGCAGAAATGAAGAAATCACTTTTTGGAGGAAAAACAAACGGAAAATATTCAACTTAAAAAATTTCGAAATCCTGGAAATTTAAACAAAAACTTTATTCCCAAAAAAAAGAAAATTTCGGAAAAAATCCAACACATGAATCACACATATCTGTTTTGACATTTCAGTCACCGACATTTTATTCTGAATTTACATTTACACCGTCTTAGAACTAAAAAAGAATTTTAGCCTTCATCCGATTTTAAACATGGGCTCAGATAAAATGCAAAGCAAGAACTAGATGAACTAGATACAGGTAGTTGATCTTCTCTTCTTAATACCAAGTGTACCAGAGAAGTGGTTCCACTATCCATACAAAGTTTAACTACTTGCTATTGAATAAATCCAACCTATACATAAGATTACATTTTTGTATTTGAACCGAACTAGGAAACAATTAATTGCCCTAAAGCAAATGTTGAATATTTTGAAGAAAGACTTGATAATAAAGCTCTTATTTGAAATGCTTATGTTGATCAAAGCTTCTATGAGTTGATTATGCTGATTATGATTTTGCATTCACTTGAATTTATTATGATGATCAATGCTTTAGCACTTATTTGAATTGATCATGTTGATTAATTCTCGAGATCTTATTAGAATTGAATCTGCTGATCAATGCTTTAGCACATATTAGAATTGATCATGCCGATTAACACTTCAGCGCTGGCTGGACTTTGAGACAGTGCACGGATAATCAACGGCAGATGGTTCAAAGAATACAGGATCTAAAAATAAAAAGAATACAGGATCTAAAAATACAAAGAATACAGGATCTAAAAATACAAAGAATACAGGATCTAAAAATACAAAGAATACAGGATCTAAAAGTACAAAGAATACAGGATCTAAAAATACAAAGAATACATGATTTAAATATATTATTATTTTTAAGCTCAAAGAAACCAGATCTGCTTCAAAGAAATGTATTTTGCTATTTTTAAGACATCAAAATAAATTAACTTTATTCAAAATTAATTGCTGCTTTAAAGTTTTCATTTCAGTATTACACAGGGCTAGGGATGGGCATTGGGCAATAACCAGATTAGTTTTTCGGAAACTACTAATGTTTTTAGAAAATTAAATTTTTTTTGACTATATGAGAAGGTTTCCAACATTTTAAAACTTTATTCTGTAGAAGTTTGCTTTTATCAAACATGCAAATTTGTTACCCTAGAAGAAAATATAAGGCAAAAACGAGCCCAAAAACATGCGTTTTAAAACGTTTTTGCCTTATATTTTCACATAGGATAACAACTTTGCAAGTTTGATAAAAGCAAACTTTTACAGAATACAATTTTAGTTCGACCCCTTTCAGATTGTCGTAAAACCTGTTAAAAGTTAAAAATATTTAAAGTTTCTGTAAAACGAAACATCTAGCTATTGCCCATCGCTACACATGGCTAACCATAGAGGATAATAATTGAGAGATGACTACACGGAGTCGTCTTGCTTCTTGTATTTATGGTTCCCTGTGCAGTTGTAAATCAAATATTTTCTATGACAAATAATTAAATGTACCATTAATAAACTACAATTGAGGTCGTCATTAAAGTATCATCCTTTGTGAGTAACATTGTACAGTGTGCCCGGCCCACAAAATTGTAGAATAAAAAGAAGAAGTTAAATCCATTTTTATGATTTAAAATAGTCAAATGAACATGAAAACAATGCAATTATTACTTTAAATACTTTAATTTATTGCTTCAAAACCATCTTTATTATTATATTATAAAGTCGCTGTACAGTGAACAGCTTGGACAAGATAATGTTTAGAGGGAGTTACCGGCAATGTATGGTAGTTGAAACTAAAAATAATGTATAATTACTGATTTTGAGCGCAAAGTCGACGTTTAAAATCATCCACTTACGTGGTTACGTTCAGAGAATCGATTTTTTAAAAATTATTAAATAATTGAAATTTTCTCAAAAAATCAATGCTAGAATCATTTATTTCTTTTTCATCATTATATTGAATGTAGTATTCTTTATGAATTTGTTCGCAGATTTCTTCAAATGTAATCTTTTCCTGGATATCTACAGAAAATGTTTGTGAACAATGAGACATTACAGAAACCATTAACAGAATGAGATTACTTATTTTCGATAATAGTTAGTTTTTATTTTCACAACCTGTTCCTGAACAACTAGTTAGTTAAATGTAGAAGTAGAATTTTTACTACATTTTTTGTTGTCGTTATTGAATAATTTTTAAAAAAAAGATTCTCAAAAAATGAAACAATCTATGATGATTTTATAAATTTGTGCTCTTGCTAAACAAATAAGCACCGTAAAAACGTCTCATTATAGGTCTCAAAAGGTTCCTAAAAAATTTCTCCACAATACTGCAGTTTCATACATTGCCGGTCACTCCCTTTAAGAAGAACTAAATGTCGTCTTCACGCTTGAAAATAGGGATTATTTCGACCTTTTCTCGGCAAAGGCAAATGTACAACGAGAAAATTATTTCTTTGATTTTACCTTCTCCTCTTCTTGTTCCAGGGGGTCCTTCATTCCTTCCCCGATCTTATCTTGATCCTTACAATCCTTCAATCCTTCCCAGATCTCACCTTGATCCTTACAAACCATCAAACGTTCTATATCAAGCTTCTTACACTTTAACAACCTGAGATATTATCAGGTCTTCACTTGAAATCGAAAACATGAAAAAAGCTAATTCAAGAGAATTTGAGTTGAATTTTTTAAGAAATGTCTTCAAGATCGCATTTCTGTTTTGATTTTAGTTAATTCATGTTCCCCAAAAAAACATATATATTTTTCCAAATTCCGCAAATTAAAAGTTAAAAAACTTGCTTAAAATCTATAAAAACTAAATTATTTCCAAAAAAGGACTGGGTTGGAGGAGAGAATGAAATATTTGATCTCACCTATCTAAGCTATTCATAGGATGAGCTCGGATTGCTGGGAAGAGTTGAACTATATCCTGGCTAGATACCCAGGTCTTATTATTTATCTTTACTAGACGGAGATCCGTTCCACCAGGCAGCTTCAGTACCTGGATACACACCTAGATACACAGATAAAGTTCCTTACACATACCTGGGCACACATAGTTATATAGTACTCTTACACATACCTGAACACACATATACAGTACACGTACATATACCTTGATACACAGATACAGTCCCCGAACACATACCTAGATACACATATGCAATAACTGTACACATACCTGGATACACCGATATATTACCCGTACACGTACCTAGATACACAGCAGTACCCATACACAAACAATACCGGGTTACACAGATATAGTACTTTAACAAATACCTGTAGACACTAACCTAGTATACGTACACATACCTGGATATACAGATACAGTAACTGTACACATACCTGGATACACAGATACAGTAACTGTACACATACCTAGATACACAAGATACAGTAACTGTACACATACCTATATGCGCAAGATACAGTAACTGCACATATAATGGATACACAGATAAAGAAACTGTACACATAATGAATACACATATACAGTAACTGTACACATATCTGGATACACAGATACAGTAACTGTACACATAGCTGGATACACAGATACAGTAACTGTGCACATACCTAGATACACAGATACAGTAACTGTACACATACGTAGATACACAAGATACAGTAACTGTACACATAGCTGGATACACAGATACAGTAACTGTACACATAGCTAGATACAAAGATACAGTAACTGTACACATAATGGATACACAGATACAGTAACTGTACACATACCTAGATACACAGTTACAGTAACTGTACACATACCTAGATCCAAAAGATACAGTAACTGTACACATAATGGATACACAGATAAAGTAACTGTACACATAATGGATTCAAATATACAGTAGCTGTACACATTTCTGGATACACAGATACAGTAACTGTACACATACCTGGATACACAGATACAGTAACTGTACACATACCTGGATACACAGATACAGTAATAACTGTGCACATACCTAGATACACAGATACAGTATTCGTACTCACTTGGATACACAAGATACAACACACGTGCATATACCTTAATACAGAGGTCGGGTATAGTACCAGTACACATACAACTGAGGAATAGTATTTTTACTGTAAATCTCAAGTTCTCAAGTACATAAAATAAACCACTGCAATCGTACAATGCACAACCTTATGATGCAAGTACAAAATACAGTAAAATACAATGTTTGTTGAATTTTTTTTCTTAGGTTTAGGCTTTAATCAAGTTTTGTTTTGATTAAATTGTTAACCTACCTTACTCTTTGATACAATCTGAGAATTTTTATCCAGGTCTAAACAGATGTATATATTTTCAAGAAGAACCCCCCACCCCCCTGCAATAAGAGGGGGGGGGGATTTATGCTCTGGGAAAAACATTAGAAAATAAGCCATAAAAGGGCACGTTTTTTCACCCCCTATTCAGCGAAAATACAAGAAAAAATTGGAGGGTGGGGTGGGAAAAAGATTCATTGTAAGAAAATATACACCCCTGGGTCTAATTCCGTCTTCTTGATAGGGTTCTTCTTCTTAGAGACGTGAGTTTTATAATCCTTGAGGATTATGGAGGCAACGTCTGCTGGTTGTTTCAGCATCACAGAGAGTATTTCTTGGGTTAGAGTTGGATTGGATTTCATGACACTGCGCAGGTCGTTTTTTTCTTTATTGGGCTTTTTAGTTGCCTTCACACTCTTCTTCGATTTTTCCGTCTTTGCCTTGAAGATCTTTGGTACTCAAGTCTTCTCTCGTTGGTTCTTTTTTGTTAGGTTACCAAAGAACCAAAAGAAAAGACTGGAGTACGGGAGATCGGTACCTTCTCATGAGGCTCTTTAGTCGGCTTCATTTTCTTCTTTGATTTGTCAGTCTTCTCCTTAAGGCACCAAAGAGCTTAAAGTAGAAGACTAGAGTACCCAGATCTTTGCTGCCCTAAGGAGAAAACTGGCAAAGCAAACCTTCTCCACACAGTGCTTTGGTGCTTCACAGGAAGTACTCTCTTTCTTGTTTCCTTTAATCTCTTTGTCAGTTTTAACTTTTTTTATCTTCTCATTTACTTCAAACTTCTCTAGGTTATCTTTGACCTTTGTTCTTTCAGGTTCTCTTTCCTCTTCATCAACCTATTAGGGTAACATACTATAAAATAATGGAGAGATGATATTTGATGGTTTGTGGAAAAATGAAAAATTGGAAATCTACTAAGTTTAGATTCTTTCTTCTTTAGAAATATAAATCTTGAACTTGTGAGAAATGTTATTAAAAGTGGGGGTGGGGGGGGGGATTAATGTAAAAATATAAACCCCTGCCTGGAACTTATCAGGGTTGCTTGAAATCCTCAAAACTTTGAACTCGTGATTGATCAGGGACCGGGGTTTTTTCAACTGCGGAAACCTAAAAACGCGAGGATTTAACCCTCCTGCAGTAATCATGCACTTAAGGGGATATCAGTTTGACCAATTTGCCTGTCTCCATTTTTATAGCAATTTGTGTTTGTTAATTAACTGTTATTTTTTTTATTTGCAACTGATTTCTAAAATTGTGACCAGAGGTTAGTACTTTGAGTTGAGAGGATCAAGCCTTTATATCCATCTAATGCAAATCTACACAGTAATTTAATTTCTCCTGGATATCCCATGGTTATCTACACTGCACTGCAGGGATAACCTGAATTGATCAAACATTTATCCATAAATCTAACTGCCCACCTCGGATATATAGATCAATCACAAAGATTAACGATACACAAAAAGCTCCGATCTCAGAAGCCCGAACTTTTGCGTAGGTCTGCATAAGATGAAGATCAATGATTGATCCCAAGATTCACAATACATAAGATCTGTCTTGTTAAAAATTACAAAATAATTGTATCTGTATACTTACGAAAAATGGGCTCTTTAAAATTTATTTTGTTATCTAAAATATGAAAAAATGTTGTTTAAAAATTGAAAAAATTAAAATCTGGGACAGCTAATTAAAAAATCTATCAATTGATCAGTACCTGGAAAAGGATTTAGCTCTGGGCTCGCAGGAGGAAGGGCAATCCAGCACTTCCACGAGGTAGGGAGGGCTAAACTCAGTCGAGTCGGATGACATTTCTTTATTCCATTCTTTAAGTTTCTTATCATTCTCCTCAATAATTTCCAGAAGTACTCTAAATTAAGATATTTTTTACAGTTTCCAATAAATTTGGGAATTGATGGCGCAGTTCATCTAATTTGAAGATTCTTAATTATTTGTAAATTTTGCAGAAAATGCCTTTTATGATGCAATATTATGATAATGTGCATTTTTGCCGGCCCCGTTTTCTCGCGTGTTATTTAAGACCTTACCCCCTATCCTTTTAAAAGAGTAGCCTTCAGTTAGATACAATGCTATATGTTAGATTGCGATAAATAGAAATATTCAAGGATCAGGATAGCTTTTCAGCAGAGAGGAAAGCGGGGGTTCTCTGCACATATATAAATAATATTAAAAATAATAATTCTTTATCGAAGGTACACTTATTTTAGTTATGTTAACAGAACATGGTCATTTTATGTGCAGTAGAAAATTAAGTAAAAGAACTAAAGAATGTCAAAATAGAAATGTCGTCTTTAATAATTTTTCTTCAAAATTAAACTTCTTAGCTTTTAAGAATAAAATCTAATGCCTATACTGTACCAAAAAACCTCACACGTAATAAAAACCAAGTTAGTCAAAAATGCGTGTGATTTATAAAATTAAAGTTTAGATTACTGTAAATATCGTCTTCATTAATATTAAAGGGACTAGAAGTGTAATTTGAAGTAACTTCCAAATATAGGTGTCCAATGGTCATGTCCGATTCACAAGGGTACCCCTGAACCCGTTCTAATCAATAATGTGGAAGATACTGTAGTTTTTTTTCTGGATTTTGATAATTTCATCTAGTTCTAAAAGTTACCTTTCCATCCTTTCAGTCGCGGGGTCGTTCAATTTTCTCATCTCACCCAGTAAACGTTCTTTATAGAAGGTCTAAATGAGGAAAAAGCCTTCTTTATACATATTTAGTTATAAAGGGATTGCCGGTGTAATATCTAGAGAAGGTTATGTCTGATTCACAACAGAAGATACAATTGTTTCAAAGTGACAATTTCTCTCTTGATCTCTGCAGCACAGGAAGATATCAGTTTTCAGTGATAAAAATATTTTATATTTTAATAACTTTTGACCCAAACGAAGGTTATGTTATGAATTCTGTCCTCTTCAGATGACATTACATCGATTAATAGTTGCAAGTAACAATAATTTCAACAAACTAGGTTTTAGAGGATTTGTAAATAAGAGTTGAAGAAATTAGTGTTAATTTAACTGTTATTATATTCAAAAAATTAAGGACTTCTTTATAAATTTAGATAAGGAATTTCACGTGACCCTCTTTTTTTAACTATAGCATGTCCGGTTCACAATGATATCCTTTAAATCTAAGAACGATAAAGGAAGATATCGTGCTAAATTCTGACAATTAACTTCATCTATATATAAATTTAGCTTGTCTGTCTGTCTGTTTGTTTTTTGTATCCTATAAACGTCAAAACGGCTGAACCGATCAGGCCAAAATTTTGTGTGGGACCTCACTTGACCTTAGGGAAGGTTTATGAATGAGTTTTTATTTTTGTAAAATTTTGAAAATGCGCGAAAAAATATTATGAAACCCGCAAACTTTTTTGTTTTTGTTTTATACTGTACAAAGAGAAGATGCTCACAGATAAAGCCACAAATAAAAGTTGAAATAGAAGATGGGCGCGAAGCGCCCTAAAAGCCTAGTTTTTTCATAATTCCGCAATTGTGACAATTAAAGAGAAACAACAATTGAAAATAATATAATTGAAAAAAGGATATCTCATGTATCTTAGATGAGACAAAGGTTTAAAGGGTTCTGTTGTGAATCAAATATGTACATGAACTATTCTAACGGAGGAACACTTGAAATTACATCTACAGTCCCATTAATCAAAGACAGCTTTTTGATCCTGTTCATAGAGTAGATCTGAGTAAAGTGCTTCGTTCTTCAACTTCTGTTCTAAATCTTCTTTCTTCATCAATTGGTATTTGACTAGACCCTTCTTCACAAAAAGCTAAATAAAAAAGCACTGAATAAGACCCATTTAATTTTGATGCGAATCTGAGATCCGTCCTCAAACAATTGATCCGAATCCTGGTGAAGAACATTCCTTAAAGATCTTCCCATGTTTTCAACTAAGGAAGAATGTTCATATTAATTTTCCTTTTTTCACTTGTTTTTATGAAAAACTTAATGAAACCCTTTTTTCAACAGTTTAGATTTTGATACAGACACTTTTCACTTAACAATTTTATCTTTAAGCTACTATTAAAGTTATAATTAATTTTTAAACAGCACTGAACATTAACTTAACCTTACACAAAGGTTGTTTGAATGTCGTCTTACTATAGGTCGTTTTTGGTTTTCAATGGTTTTACCAACTCCTGATTCAAGAATTGAATAATGCGCCAATGTTTCAAGATTGAGGATTTTTATCCTACAAGGGAACCCCCAGACCGCCCTCAGGGTGCAGCGCATCAACATATACGGTCTGGAATCCCTCCGGGCTAGAGCACAATATTTAACGCTTATACAGGGTGTTTTTACAGGGTGTTTTTTATACAGGTCTGTTCCATATGAAAAGCTAATTTAAAATTTTTTAAAGTTCGAAAAGAAAATCCAAAAATAAAAACACTTAAATCCACGATTTCATATTTTCTGTAACTTCATATTTTCACCAAAAATTATGTTTTCTGGAGTAACGGACCAAAAATAATGCTTCGATATTTTAAAAATTTTAAGACGACCTAGGCCTGGTCATGGAGAGGATTCCTTATGAAGTACAGCAAAATCTGTAGAAAAAGCATAGCTTTAAAACCCCTGTCGCCCCCCTCTCAGTCTCACCCCATATCAGAGTAGCAGAACCAGTTTGTGTGCCAAAGAGAACGGAGGCCATTTTGAACATTTAATAAAGAATTCTAGATAATTTCTTTGCTTTATACAAAACGTCCATATGTGTAGACAACCTTACATGTTCAATAAATGTAATCCATAATGATTTAACCTGTGCTGGACCAGAATCATTATTTATAGTATAAAAAACACACTACGTACGACAGATAGAAATAAGAAAAAAATGTTTAAAGGGACTCTAAGAGTAAATTTTCAGTGAACCTCAATTGAAAGATGGCAATGCCCGATTCACAACGGTACCCTTAAAAGCGTTGTCCGATCAAGTAAGATTAAGATATCAATATTTATAATTTTTAAAGCTGATTATTTTCAATCGTGGTTTCACTACAATAGTGATTTCCATAGAGTATAGCTTGTGAGGATGTTGAAACCGATAAAAAGGACAATATTTGCCAAAAATTATTTATCAGATTCAAGTGCACCGTTAAATGAATCTGGCATTGCCATCTTTGCATGAAAAGTCACATAAAATTTCGTGGACAGTCCCTTTTAAATAAAAATCAAATTAAAAAATATAAAAATATAACCTTGGCTATATTTTTGTCTCTGTTGATATCCCTGAGAACAAGGGGAAGAGGAGACGGAGTTGGACCAATCAATGTACCAACCTAAACAACCAATTTAGAAACAAGTTTGTGGAAAAATAATCTCCCCCCCCCCCCTTCCCAACAAAAATATTTTTTTTTCAAGAAACATTTACGTGAAGCCGAAAACTTTTCGAGTAAATATTAATACTTTTAAACAGAAAATTTACGATTTTAATCAATTTTAGGAAATTTATCACCATTTTATGATTCCCATTGTAGGGCAATAAAGTGACTTTACGCCCTACATTAGGGCGAAAAAATATATCTTTATCGACCTGCTATTAAAGAAGTTGAGTAAATTTGAATAAATCTATTTTATTGAAATGAGTCTTATGCGTGAAAAGAAGTTTTTGCTGGGACACTTTTTGCATTTAATAGTATCTTAAAAATATCTAAAAGAAGGAAAAAACTTAATAAAAATAAAAATAAAATCAAGATATTTCAAAAATTATTTTTGGGAGGAATATTTTTACAGACACCAAATTATTTCTTTCTAATGAAAAATACAACAAAAAAACTTGTCTAGTCCATTACAATGCAATTCAGTCCCTCCATTGCCATAAAAAAAGATGGCCAAAATCAGCCCTTCAAGTTTTTAACCCTATTTTGGTAGAATTTATTAAATCCAATAAAAGATCTTTTAAAGAATCCTAAAGTACGATTTTTTTGTGTTCTGTATAATGCCAATATTTAACTTTTGGTATCCAATAAAACGAATTTTTAAAGAAAAAAGTCGATGGCAAAAATTTTAACCATTATCTAAGCCTCGCATCCCTGTTTTGAAAACAAAGAAAAAAAAGGTAATAAAAAAAGATAATAAAAAAAGATAAAAAAATAAATGACGTGGTTTGGTTAGGTGTGCAATTCAGTGAAAGAATATGCATTGGCCTACACCCATTTTGCCTCCGACCCACAAATGACGTCATATGTAAAAAGCATAATCTTATTCGCCCCCCCCCCTCCCCTCTTTCCATCTAATTTAGACAACTATATGAAATTAATTAGGAAAAAACAAACCATAATCTTTGCCTCAAATCCCTGTACACTACTTAAAGCCAGATCAACCAGGAGTTTAAACCCTGCATCAGTCTCCGTCTTAGCATCTAAAGTTAGAAATTGTAGCGCTCGACACAAAGAGGGGAGGAAGTCCAACCACAACAATATCTAGTCCGAGCCACCACAAAATCCTAGTCTTTCCAGTAATATCTTTTTTAAATGTTCAACCTTTGCAGATAAAAATATTTTTTCTTAAACCAGGGAAAAATTCAAATATTAAAGTTTCTCAAAGAAGTTTTAAATTTGTGAAAAAATAAATCTGTAAGGATGCTCTGTAAGCAAACAGATCTCTATTAGTGGAAAGGACGAGCATTTTGAGGTGGCTCGGACGAGAAAATGAGGAGAATGTGGCTAGGGATAGTAATAGTTGTGGTTGGCCTTCCTCCCCTCTCACAATCAGACTTTATTCAAAGCGTCACAAGACAACCAGATACTTTCTTTAAAAATAAATATGTTCTACTTTTGTAGTTGGCCGTAGATTTCTTCATCGTCAGTCTGTGGACGGGTTACTGCTATACATATACATCCCAGTTCTATTTTGAATTAAGAATTCGGTAAATTATGGATCCATTGAACCAGGCAAGAAAAATCCTCTACAAAAATCTTCTATGAACTATCGGATAAAGTACCTAAAATGATCATCCTAGCGTAGTGGTGGTTATGTTAGGATAGAAAAACAGAGAAAGGTGTAAATTAAAAAAAATATTAAGCTTTAAAAATAAAGATAAAATTAAAGATGTGTTTAATAAAAGTATGAAAATAATTCATGTATAATATATAGCAGCCCAGTGGCAAGGCTGATGCATATCCAACATTCCACCTTATTAATACGATTTAAAAATATTTTATTTTATAAAACATGGAGCACTGGCTCCATTACTATGGATCAAGCTAACTGGTGTCGTTGATGCAAACCTTTCGTGGGTCCAGTGCTCCTAATGGGCACTGGACCCTCTGGATCAATTTGGATAATGGATATGTTTTGAACTTCCAAACCACTGAGCCTAACTAAAGATTTTGAAAAACCAGACATGCCAAATCAAATGAATTTTTGTAAGATCAGTAAAACCTGAAGTTCAAAATGTTAGTTTTTTGCGCAAATTCCTGGTTTCTCTGGATTTATTAACCTAACCTAATTTAGCCTGAATTTAGATTGATTTAGCTTAAATAATCTTGAATTAGATCGATTTTGCATGATTTTGCATGATTTTGCATGATTTTGCTTGATTTTGCTTGATTTTGCTTGATTTTGCTTAAATTCGCTTCATTTAGCTTGATTTAGATTGATTTAGGTTGATTCAGCTTATTTTAGCTTTTTTATCTTAACAAAGCTTGATTAATTTAGATTAAGGTTTATTTATCTTAATTTCATCTCCAGGACACTTTTGGTTTATCAGGATTTATTTACCTATCTTAATTTATCTTGATTAAGCTTAATTTATCTCAACTTAGCTTGTAAAATCTAGATTAACTTTGATTTATCATCAACTCCTCTCCAGCATACTCATTTCAGAAAGAAAATACACGCATATTTTTTCCCATGTTGATTTTCCTAATATAATTGCGTTTTGAGCTGTTTGAGAAGACTTTCCATTTCTGATCCACTTTTTCCACAATAATGCAATGCGAAGTCAGTTTCCGTAGTCCGGTAATAACTTGAAATAAATATGTTCTACTTTGGTAGTTGTATATCTACTACATTTATCCACTTTTGAATTAATTAGTACATTACTTATGAAAAGTGCAGTACACTAACATATAAACTATAATCTTGGAATTCTAATAATTGATGAAATATTTGTAAACTCAAAAATTAACAAATGAAACGATACGGAAACTAAAGTTTTCATCAACAAAAAATCAATTATTTTACCCACTAACTGATTGTACAGTGGCCAACATTTTGTGCTAATAGTTCAAAACAGGATTGAAAGAAGGAGAATTAGGAGAAGAAGAAGGGTTAGGGGAGGGACATATACAATTTACACCTGTTTCTTCACAGGATGGAAGGGTGGGAGGGGTTAGATTGTATCTAATACCTACTCCAAACAATTTTACTTGAGAGGGATCTTTCCAGGTCTTCTTGTTATCAAGATCATTCAGGACTAACTCTTCGTTTCTGAATGCCACAAAGGCAATATCTCAACCAAAAGACAAACAGTCCCAAATCTCAACCAAGCTCAACTCCCTAGTTATATAATCCTCACAGGCTATTGAAATTGCTACACCGGCAATTTCTCCACCAGGCTTAACTCCCCGGTTCTGAAGGACAGAGAGTCCAAATCTCAACTCGTATAATTCAATAAGGACTTATGCTATCTTTTAAGCTATATTAGATCAGATTGCCAATTATCAAGGCAAGATCTCCATTTTTATAATTCAAAGAGATCACAAGCTATCTTTCAAGATATATTCAATTTAATGCTTAATCAACTAGCAAAGATCTCTGCTCATAATGTTTCATCAAGAACAAAGACTACTTCTAATACCGTAATCAAAGCAGAGTCTCAATCAACTAACTATATTCAATAGCTTAGGTTACAAAGTTAACAGGAATTGATATAATTCAATTCCTACATTGTTATTGATATCACATGATTAAGATCATCATATTATGTAATTATCGCACAGTTTAAGTTTAAGGTAAATATTTAAAGGATTAAAGAGAATAGATATAATGCAGTTAACCTTCTCTGCCCATATTTTAAAGGGTAATTTAAATAGGTCGCATGATTTATGCTAATCATGTGAAGTATTTGATTGAATTGAATAATCTTATTATGTCTAAGTTTAAAACATTAAATCATTTAAGACTTACAACGTACTGCAAGTTTACAGAATATCAGGTTTACCCGCTTTTTGCTACAAGATTACCTAATCCCCATATCCTTCCAAGAACTGCTTGCTGTTCTAGATTCCCATATGGCTCTTCAAGGAACCATAATTCAGAAACCTAGAATAAAAACGTATTTGTATATTTGTCTTGTCCATTGGTTTGCAAGTTTCTTCACAGGGTACCAACATATACAATTTACACTGGTTTCTTCACAGGGTACCAACATATACAATTTACACTGGTTTCTTCACAGGTTACCAACATATACAATTTATACCCATATGGGCTACCAACATTTACAATTTACACTGGTTTCTTCACAGGGTACCAACATATGCAATTTACACTGGTTTCTTCACAGGGTACCAACATATACAATTTACACTGGTTTCTTCACAGGGTACCAACATATACAATTTACACCGGTTTGTTCACAGGGTACCAACATATACAATTTACACTAGAAAAATTAACACTTTTCAGCTTTTTACTACTCAAGTCTAGAACTGCCTAGTTATTTATACAACTAGGCCTCTGGAGACATTTCATAGTAGAGCTTCCATGTTGAAACCACAAAAGTGCTAACAATATTATTGGAACTCTCAGACCACAGAAGATGGTTAGAGATTAAAGAACGGTAAGGATAAGATCATATTATCAGAAGATGTTTAGAGATTAAAGAACGGTAAGGATAAGATCATATTATTGGAACTCTCAGACCACAGAAGATGATTAGAGATTAAAGAACGGTAAGGATAAGATCATATTATTGGAACTCTCAGATCACAGAAGATGGTTAGTAATTAAAGAACGGTAAGGATAAGATCATATTATTGGCTTCTAATACTTTCTAATTCATCAAACATTCAAATCCGCAATTTTGTCAAATTGCTATTTTTATACAAAATAAAATGATTTTTTGTTAAGTATAACCACAAAATTGTTCCAGGGTACCAACATATACAATTTACACTGGTTTCTTCACAGGGTACCAACATATACAATTTACACCGGTTTCTTCACAGGTACCAACATATACAATTTACACTGGTTTCTTCACAGGGTACCAACATATACAATTTACACTGGTTTCTTCACAGGGTACCAACATATACAATTACCCCCCCCACCCCCTAGAGACTTACGTGGATGTTAGCAACAGAGCCGTAATCACAGAAGAATATGGTGGCTTCAAAATCTGACACGTTTACACTCTTCACTATTCCTCGATTAAAGGTCACTAAACAAAACATTAATCCATGAGCGGTCAGAACTTGAGAGCTTGATTTTTATCTTGATATCCAATATGGGTACTTTTGAATTTGATGATAAATAGATTGAACCTTAAAATTCGTCTTTTGTCCCTTTAAATGTAATATCTCTTACCATTTCCAGGGTATTTCGTGGCTACTGCCAACCCAGGCACAATCTAGAACATTAAAGGGAGTGTTCGTGAAGTGAAAAAGGAAAGCATTAAATTCAGGTTAAATTTCCAATAAATCTGTTATACAATGGCGCCCACACACTGCTGAAATTGAACCATCAGGTTTTAAGTCAAAACACCTAATTTTTTACTTCGGAATATATTCATATGCAGCCTTCTGAGTTGTAATCTAAATTTTTAGAAAATGCCACCTAGGGAATTTTAATTAAATCCATTTTAAAGAAATTATAGAAATTAAGTGAATTTTTAAGTCTAAACTCAATCATAACTGTCGGTTCAAAGATTAATCAAGATTAATCTGTGTTTTTTGCGATATTTTTAGAACCGTTGATGGAGGGTCCCCAAATTTTGTGAATTTTCCCTAACAGTAATAAGACATGTTTTAACAAAAAAATCAAAGCCTTAAGTGAACTGTATAATTTCCCAATTTCTGCCTAAAAAAGACGTTTTGAAGTAAAATCAGTTAAAATTACATCGAAAAACTTTTTCGGGCCGCATTTTGACAATCAGGCAGTTGACTTAGGGGTTTGATTTTTTTCCTACAATTAGTTTCATGACTGTTAATGAAAAATTTGGAGACCATGTCATATACTGTTTAGTGGGCAGTGTGCCCACTAAATTGTAGAATAGAAAGAAGATAATTAAGCAGTATTTAAATGCTGTTAAAATACAAAATTCCAGTAGCTTATTAAGCTAAGTGAGTGAGTGTACCCTGCGAATAGTGCGCATTCACAATTGCTGTGTTTCTAGTTTGTTGAACTATTCAAAGTCATCACTTATCTCTAACAATCCTCTACCTATTCCACAGTTTCATACGTCTCATATTGGAGTTTAATATAAAACAAATTTTATAATTCCAAAAGGCAAACACAAATATTTACAAACTAAGTCCAAGTCTTCTTGATTTTAAAATTCAATGATTATGTATTCCCCCCCCCCCACTCCAAAAAAAAATACAGGGTCATATTTAAAATTATACTTACTTCCGACTTATCATAAATTCTATAATCATCATCTCTGAGTTTGTAGTACTTAGTCATATCCCTGTTCATAGCACATATACAATTTACACTGTCTCTGAGTTTGTAGTACTTAGTCATATCCCTGTTCATAGCATTGAGGGCCTAAATACTCATATAATGTTTTTGAAACTACATCCATAAAGAACTTCTGGCTCAAGATTAAAAATCTTGAACATCTTACAGCAAATGACAAACCTATTTTTTATAATTTAAAGGAAATGTAATTCTGATTTTAATTGCCTTTACGGTGGAAAAGAAATAACGGTAATCTTTGTAAATTTTTATCTAATCTAATTAAAAATTAGGAATATATGATTTTTTCCTTTTAAAGTGTTAAATTTTGACAATTTTCTCAATTTTTTTTCTGATGAAAAATGCACTCTTCATAAAAAATCCACGATTGAAATAATCAACTTTCAAAAAGAAGTGGATTGATAGCTCTTACTCTTTTTATTAGACATCGCTTTTAATGTAGGTTGTAAATTGGACATTCTTATATACATGAAGAGTCACATCACTGAAGTCTTTTTAATTGCTGTAAATTCTGTTTAACAGAGTTAAAATTAAATATTACTATTTCCTCAAACAACATTTTTTTGAATAATACATTTAAAGAACAAAAGGGAATGAAATCTGCAACAGACCCCATATGTGGACCTCCAGTCAGACGCCAGATGTGGGAAGCAGTGGCATCAAAATAAAATGGTTTCTAGTATTCAATCCACAATAGTACCATGACAACGAGACAAAACTTGAAAACTTGTAGAAATTTGATTAGCTTGATCCGGGTCCATTTCTTTTTCTGATCCAGATGAAGATATACATTATAGATTCGGATAAAGATCAAATGGATCCAGAAAAAGATAAAATGGATCAAGATAAAGATGGTACCAATCTGGATAAAGGTAGAATGGATCCAGATAAAAAAGGATCCAAAAGAAGATAGAATGGGTCTGGAGGATTCTGATCTTACCTGACTATGCCTAGGTCCAATGAAGTAAAACCAGAAATGAGTAGCAGACAGTATTTCAGTCAAACATACTTTCAACTTCTAGATAAAATACATATTACTATATAAAGCTAAACTTATTTTCTAATATATATATATATATACTTTGCTTGTTTGTCTGTTTGTTTCCAACAAACATCAAAATAGCTAAACCGATCGGGCTCAAATTTTGTGTAGTATCTCACATGACCGAAGGGAAGGTTTATGGATGCTTAGAATTATTAAAATTTGTCTCAAACTGTAATTTGGAAAAAAATTATTTTTGTTCTATCGAAGAGAAAATGCTCAACTATTAAAAGTTTTAACTAGAAGATGGGAGACAAGTAACCTGAAAGCCTAGTATTTTACACCCGGCCTGGAAACATTTCAAGAAATATAACACGCACATCCCAATATGTACATATGTAGATGTAAACATGTCACATGTGAGGTTCCACACAACATTTGGACCCAATCATTGGATACAAAGGGAGACAGACAAGTATTTATATCAAATCAAAGATGGTGTATTTTTAGACCTACGCCCATCCCCTCTACTGCCCATCCGACCTACAAACACGTGGTTTTTACAGCTGTTGTAGGTCCGATGCACTGTAGGTCGGATGGGCACGTTAAAAACAGCATATTGGTGCATCCGACGTATTTTGTAGTATTTCAGGGTTAGGTTAGGTTGAGAGCCCATCCGACCTACAAAAAATGCCCATCCGACCTACGAAAAGTGCCCATCCGACCTACGAAAAATGCCCATCCGACCTACGAAAAATGGAACCCAATGAGGAATCCCCCAGACTGTATATATTACTGAACTCCCCCCGCCCTTATCACATTGGGTGGGGGTAGGGGGGAAGAAAAATAATGATTAAACATGGAAGAGAATTTTTAAAAAGTGAAGCGAAAAAGTGTGAAAGAAGAGAGGAAGGGGAAAGAAACGGGTTAATTATCCAAGAAACCCAGAAAATAGGGAACACAAAAATTCAGTTTGAATTTTTTTCCCCAAAAAAATGAAAAAAAGAGTCTAATTTTGTTTTAAATTCTTCCCCAACAGTTTTTTATAACACTGAAGAGGAAAAAGCGTTAACATTTTTTTTAAAAAATTCTCTTCCCTATAATTTTTCTGCAAAGTTAGAACAATGAAGGTATTTCATCTTGATTTTTAACCTCATACCCAACAAACAAAAAACCGTCGAGAACACTAGCTTTTCTGACACAAGTGATCTGTGAATATGCCATGATAATTCACGTGTTGACAAGGTGAATGTCAACAATTTGATCACGGGTCTAGGACCGAGTTTTTACACAGGCAAAACTTGAGTTTATTTCACAAGATGTACATGGAATTTTTACACGAGCTCATCTACTTAAATGACTTTTTTTAAATGTTCAGCTATTCTAATATGTTCATAGTTGTAAGAAAGTCACTTCCTTGCTTTATCTATAAGATGGATATTCCAAAAAGAGGTGGTTGAGAAACATAATATAAAATTAAATGTGAAACTTTTCCATACTTTGCTCATGCTTGTTAAAATCTGAAAAAATGACGTCACTTAAAATATTTCATTTTACTACAATATATTTAAGTTTCTAAAAGATAAGCAGCTAGACACCAAGTGTTTTGCTTTCGCAAAAATGAAACATGAAGTTCTTTCCATGATACCTCATATATTTTATACATGATAATTATAAGAATTAAAATCTAGATTTTCTGGCATTACATTACTCATGATTAACATGTTGGGAATATGCGAGATCTTGCACTGGTATCTTTGCTATGAGCACAACATGTTAAAATACACCTATGAATGTTTCCCTCCATTTGTAGATGTCAGATTCTGAAAGTCCAGTTTTTTAAAACTAAAAAAGTGTTAAGATAATGTCCTCAAAGTTTGGAATCATAAATTCTCAAACCAAGAATTGATATGGCTTTAAGCATATCAAACGAAAGCTAGGAACCCAGGCTATATAAAAGCAGCAAATAATTCAATGATTGACCTTCTAATAGCATCTGACGACCTCTAATGGGCTCTAATGACCTCTATATTAATTTTTTTTCTGTGGCTATAAGCATGTAAAGCAAAATCTAAAAACCCAAGGAATACAGTACAGACAAAGAATTCAGTGTTTGACCTTCTAATGGCCTCTAATGGCCTATAACGACCTCTAATGACCTCCAAATTGAAAATATTTTAATCATGGCTTTAAACATATCAAGCGTAAGCTTGGAAACAAGGGAATACAGTAAAAGCAAAGAATTCAGTGTTTGACTTTCTGATGACCTCTAACGACCTATACTAGTTTAAACATTTACAATTTGGAGGTTATTATAGGTTGTTAAGAGGTCTAATGAAAGTCAAACACTGTATTTTTTACTTTTATTGTATTGCCTAGGATCCTGGCTTTTGTATGATATGCATAAAGCCAAAGTAAAAAATTTCATTTTGGAGGTCCTTAGAGATCATTAGAGGTCATTAAAGGTCAAGCTTGAATTCTTTGCTTTTACTATATTTCAATGTGGAGGTCATTAGTGGTCATTAGAGGTCGTTACGATGTCAAAAGAAGGCCAACCACTGGATTTGTTGCTGCTTCTATATTCCCTGGGTTTCTAGATTTCGATTGATGTACATAAAGTCATAGTTAAAACATTTTTTATTGGTCTAGGTCATTAAAAGTCATTAGAAGCCATTAGAGGTCATTAGGTCCAATTTCATTTTATTTATTGAAAATAGCTCCCTATTTAGGCATGCAGCCAAAACATTGGAAATTTTGAACCAAAAACAAAATGCAGGGATCCCCCCCCCCCCCCC